GTATACAGTATATATTTATATATTATACTGTGTGCGCGCATATATAAACATATATTTGTATGTGTGTGAGTATATATATATGATAATGTCTGGCCATGTAGGAAGGAATGAAACAGAAAATTCCTCAAATATTTTCATATTTATCAATACATCTTCAGAAGGATGGATATTACAAGACAGTGGTGGATATAGAGTATAGACAGGAATGAGGTGAGGTGAAAAACAATGTCTTTGTTTACAAACATAAGAGGAAACAGACTGTTTTTTCACTTCACCTCACCTCATTCTTGTCTATATATCCACCACTGACTTGTAATATCCATCCTTCTGAAGATGTATTGATAAATATGAAAATACTTGAGGAATTTCATGTTTTATTCCTTCCTACATGGCCATTGTCAAATTGTTCATCACATGTTAATTTCTTTGTGATTTATACACACACACAGTGTACGTATGTATGTAGCAACAATCATGAAACACTCAAGTATGCAGAAAAACCACATTGAAAAATGAAAGTTAACCAACGTTTTCAGCTATTAAACTGGCCTTCATCAGCAGTTAGGTTAGTATGGAGTCGGGGGAAAAGTAGTGGGCAGTGAGGTCACCTGACCCCAGGTCACCCAAACTCCAAGGGGGAAACAAGTCACCAGAAACAACTGGACAGAGGAATGCAGGCAGAATAATCCGGAACAAGTATCAATTTGGAAAAAAGAAGGAAAGGTTAGTTTAACAATGTCAAAAAAAAAATTCAGAACAATTTATTTTTTGTGCACCACGGGGATGTCAGCAATTAACAGTTGCTCATTTAATTTTTTTCATTCTGATTTGAAATGAAAAGTGTTGAGTTTGGAGACAAATTTACATTTGTCTTGTTTTTATAAATGTCTAATTAATGTTAAGTCATTAACAACTGCACCACAAAATATTTGCTGAAAACAGGTGCGCAGTGCAGGGGTTAACAATGTCAAACAAAAAAATAGTTGGAGAATTTTTTTTATGCACACCTAAATAAAGACTCGTGTAACACGTGTGCAGTGCAAGGGTTAACACTTTCGCGGCCCGATGCTGCATATTCCGTCATAAAACCAAAATACTGTATGGAATAGGCCCGACGATGCAAACGGCGTTAACAACTTAAAAAATTTGTAAAAATTCCATTTATTGTCTGAATACTATGGGACTTGTTTTAAAATGCACGCCAACATCTTCCCATGCTCTGTATATGGCATCCCCATGGCATGGCATCCCCACCCCAGCGGTGTGGGCGACCTCCCACACTTGGAGGCCCATTGTTTTCTTGACCCCATTTGCGACTGCAGCGGCCTTTTGTGTTATACAAGTACTATACAACAGATACCAAGAAACTCCCATTCCTTCAGTTCCACGAAGTAATACATCACTAGTGAAGTTTAGGTATAAGGAGTAGCCTCTCAACAATGACCACATCATACATAATTATTGTGTTCAGTTGACAGGGGGGCCTGGTAGCCTGGTGGATAGCACGCAGGACTCGTAATTCTGTGGTGCGGGTTCAATTCCCACACCAGGCAGAAACAAATGGGCAAAGTTTCTTTCACCCTAAATGCACCTGTTTCCTAGCAGTAAATAGGTACCTGGGAGTTAGTCAGCTGTCACGGGCTGCTTCCTGGGGGTGGAGGCCTGATCGAGGACCGGGCCGCGGGGACACTAAAAGCCCCGAAATCATCTCAAGATAACCTCAAGTTGATTGACAGTTGAGAGGCAAGCCGAAAGAGCAAAGCTCAACCCCCGCAAACACAACTAGGTGAACACTAGGTGAACTCATGCTGGTGATGTACATGAGGATGACAGCAGTGTTACTGGTGACACTGTTGCAATGCCCCGACCATCAGGTGTGATGACACTACTCTTCCCTTCTTCACCTAGAGATGAACATTCATCATTTGACTCTGAAGACAAACTTCAGACAACTCCTAGTGGTGCTGCTGCTTGGAGAAGACCTCGTATTGTGGGTAAACCTGAACGTCTGAACAGTAACTTGAACCGTGAACTAATACGCATTAAGAAAGCTCTGAGGTGTCATGTCTGCTACAAGTCTGGTAAAAGGATGGACAGCAGGTATAAGTGCAAGTCGTGTGGTGTGGCACTGTGTGCTGCACCATGCTACAGCTTGTACCATCGCAAAAGGACATTCGTGGTGGCTAAGTGGTAATGCTTACCCACCATCCCCTCCACCTATAAAACTTCAGTTGAGCAACTTCAGGAAGCCTTTTTCTGGAGCAGGTGGAGGGGTTCTACCTAATGTTCAACTCATGCTCTACAAACATTATTGGGTGGTAAGTACAGATATTTTTATTATTTTTTTTTATACATATGATATTGTGGTACAAACACTTATGAAGGCAGCAACATAAAAGCGAATGATATGGTGTTATAAACAATGTCGGGAATGAATAATGACTGTAAACAATGAAGAAAATCAATTGTTGTTCACATGACGATGTACTTTATCTTATGGTATTGGTAACATTGTTCTAATATTTGTTCTTATATGCAAATATTCATTTAGAGCATTCTATTGTGAACAATTTGATACCATATTGAACAACGTAGTATGAAAATTAAAGTCAGAAAGCTGAAACGAGTACTGTAGAAACATTATTGTGTTTTGGTGATTTCATGCTCAATGCTCAGCCTACCTTGAGGTGTGCGGGGAAGCCGCACGCGATAGTGCTAATCTTGAGATGATTTCGAGGTTTAGCATCTCCTCGGCCCGGTCCGTAGCAGCTGACTAACCAGGTACCTATTTACTGCTAGGTGATCAGGGGCATCATGGTGAAAGAAACTCTGCCCATTTGTTTCCGCCTCCACCAGGGATCGAACCCGAACCTTAGGACTACGAATCCCGAGCGCTGTCCACTCAAATGTCAAGCCCCCAACTTTGTGAAACTTCGATACGAACTTAATTCCCAGACGATGGGGAAGATATTAATATTTTCTTTATACTAAAACCAAAGGACATCTTTGGAATCTTTATAAGAAAACAGTTTTAAAATTATACCATATAACCCTCTATTAAACTGACTCAGAATGCAACTGATAAGACAAAATTGTTTTCAATTATCCTAATAAAATTAGGGAAAGGATTTCTAAGAATAGAGTAGGGGATGATAGAAGCCTGGGAGACATTTACATTTTACCTTGTAGAAATTGTAGCAAAGTATATGTGGGGGAAATGGCATAAACTTGAGATCAGAATTGAAGAACACAAAAAAGTATGTCGAATGGCTAGTAATCATGGCTAGGAATAGTGTTGTAGCAAACTATAGTTGGGAAAAGGAATCACAATATTGATTTTAAGAGGTGTGAAATAATCTATAAAAGTAATAATATTAGAATTAGAAGGGTAGTAGAAGGGGTTCTAATTAATACTCTGAATACTTTAGTTGGTAACAAAAGCTTTACTTTTAAAGGATAGATTTACAAGAAAACTTATTCTAAGTGAATTAAAACTAAATCTGAAAATGGATGAAAGTATTGCAAATAGCTACTCTCGTTTGGGTATGGATGGAGTTATAAGGAATAGCATTCAGGTGGATACCTTTATTAATAACTCCAGTTCTCAGAATATCAGGATGACAGAAAGGACAACTGACCATAATTCCATAGAAGACATTCCCGTAGGTACATCGGCAGGTGGGAATAGAGGTGACATGGTCAGGAGGTCAAGAAGGATAAGAGGAATGGATCCTGGGTAGCAACCATAGTAGCCATCAAGATGTAAGTCTCGTGCAAACCATATACTATACTCAAACCTTCATAAAGTATTCAGTAGTGCACGAAAGACTCTGTAACTCATTACATAAAATACACAAATATGCAAGTTTGAGTTTTTATCATATATTAATATCTTATTAACAAAGCACACTATTCATGTGCTGCAGAAATTATATGATCTAATTAGCCAATAACGTGTAGGGCTAAAAATTGTCCTAACCCCCCATAGTCAGGGGTGCGTCATAGGGGGTGGGGGTAAGGATGTCCAACATTCACCTTACTATGAACTGACTTGCAATATTGGAACTTAAATATGGGTGAAATATGTACAAACCAGTACTAACATTAAGAATATTGGGACATTAGTTAATCAGGGCTAACTCAATCAGATTTTGTTCAACAAAACCCTTGCATTAAGCAATACTTTTTGAACTTCTTACGTCAATAGTGATATCACAAACTAGAATGTAAATACAATGCATTTGATAGCTGGGCCTTTCTAATCAAGTAAAAATGCTACATTAAACACGCTCTTAAAGATTTACCCGTTTGTCCACTATAGAAATGCACAATCATTGCATGGAATCGAATACACACAACCTGCTATAGTCGAGGGCGAGTTCTTGATTAAAATGTACTTAACCATATTATCATACGATTAAGTCTAGTGTAACACCAGATTAATACTAATTTCTCAAGAAATGGGAAGTTTAGTTTAGTTCTTCAGAATAGAGTAACACGAGCGAGTTTCCTTTTTATTGATTTGTTCAATAATTTAGCTATGATTTCATTAAAAGACGAGAGAACTAAAATGTTATGCTGATCAATAGAGCACATGTCATAATATATATCAAACATTGTTTCTTCTGTCCGTTAAACTACCCTTTCCTTCTGTCCGTTAAACTACCCTTTCCTTCTGTCCGTTAAACTACCCTTTCCTTCTTTATAACAAATTGATACTTGTTCTGGATTATTCTGCCTGCATTCCTCTTACTGACTTGTTTCCTCTTAGGGTTTAGGCGACCTGGGGTCAGGTGACCTCACTGCCCACTGCTTTTCCCCCCCGACTCCATGCTAACCTAACTGCTGATGAAGGCCAGTTTAACAGCTGAAAACGTTGGTTAACTTTCATTTTTCAATGTGGTTTCTCAGATTATTTATTTATTTTATATATATATATATATATATATATATATATATATATATATATATATATATATATATATATATATATATATATATATATATACATACATACATTACATACATACATTACACACACACACACACATATAATACATATGGTGTGTGTATTAAAGTGTGAAATAGGGATTACAAGAATCCCACATACTCATCAACAAATGTTTGAGCACACAAGAAAATGCAGAGCAGTCCAAACATGACAACTCCACTGACTGGTATTGTGCTCGTGTTTTTCTCCTAACAAACAACTAAACCATGTGTGTGTCTAGAAGGTTGTTAAACAGGGGGCAAAGACAGATGGCAACATGCAAAAGCCCAAAGGTCACCAGTGACTTGTTTTTCTGCCAGTGTGACAAACGTTGACAGGACATAGACAAGTAGATACACAGATAATTGTTGTTTGATAACAATACTGAGTTTACCCAATCATTCTGTAGGCAGTTTAGTCAGCAGATATTGATTAGGAATGACTAGAGACTTGATAATATGTAACTATATGTGCAGGATAACATTTGTAAAATCTCAACATTTTCATTTATGCGACAAAAGGAATGTATATTCCTGTATGTTGTAAATGCACAATATGACAGTACCTTATGCAACAAAATCAGGACAAGACTAACATGACTAGCAGGATATGGAATGACCAGAGATAAAACAAGTGAACAGTCTTTGCATCAATTCATGGCAGTCTGGGCTATGGCAACATTCACTTTGAATCACCAAAATAATTATTGGCTTGGTGAGCCTAAACGCTATATACATGATATGTACAACACAACCATACCGCCGAGCACCCGCTTTACACTATCCCGAATTCTAAGTTTCAGCCAATAATTTGGGACAAATGGACCATACAGTCCCAGGAACACTGTATCAGGGCGCTTCACATCCCCAAGGACCACCGCTACACTGACCACGACTTGAGGAAGACTTAACGCTTGACAGGCAGAGGCAGACGAGGCTACAGCCAAGGCAGACTAGAGTACAGACCTCACTGTTGGAGCTACAACTTGCAATAGCTGTTGCTGCTGCGGAGGGCATGGGAGCAATGCAACTTATCAAGACGAGCTGCACGAGAGAAGTTGGTAATGAGCAGCTACCATGGAGAATGATCTGTCACCCCTCGCTGCTGCCTCACAATTTGTAGATGGCAAAAATGGGACATTTAATTTTTTGCTAACTGGTTACTATTCTTGTCTATGGGCATTCCAGCTCCCATCAACCAGTTAAGTGGTAACTATATCCTCTGTATGATGATTTTCCTCATAAAGCCTGCATTAAATGAGCAGAAGGCAGAGATATATAAGCTACCTTCTGCTGCCGAGTGAGTCGTGGTGTGGCGGGGCAAGGCCAGCCTCAGGTAGGTGATGTGGCTCTGGGGATTAAACTGAGGCACATTTTATCTTGTGCCCTATTTAGCTTATGGTTCTCCATTTCTCTGCCTCTCTCGGCCCTCCCTGAATAATTGTGCTTTGCGAGATTGGATCCATGAGATGGGATTTCGATATAAGTGTCTATGGTGCCAAATATCTGGCAACTCATAAGTCTTTGCAATGTCACTATCACTAATTGTCCCCAGTGGGGCAAAAGTCTGAGGCACATCATAGGGCAGGGGACTCCTACCCATTGGAATTTTAATGCCCACCACAAAGGGGGCAAAAGGGCGAGGGGCAGGTCTGGTGGGCGACGGGGTGAGGGCAGAACTGGACTGGTGCAGGTTTCTCCTGATGGGTTCACTATTGGCTTTCTTGAGGGTGATAGGGGTACCATCCATACCTGTGGCAATTTCAGCAACAGCCGCCACAGAGCTGTGAAGCAGCGAAGAAGGGGAGCTATAAAGCACATGAGCACTCCCAACACTAGAAGGTGGAGTGTTCCCAACCCACGAAGCACCATGGAGGATAACTGGAATGGCAGTCCAGTACCCATCACCCACACAGCTGCTGCGGTAACGACAACACACTTGTCCACCCTGAAGTATAACACAAGAGAGCATTACTTACACGAATCATTTGACTTGCATTTCATATATAAGATTTTTGAAAATCAAATTAAAATATTTGGCCAACAAGTAGGGAGTATAGGTATTATTTTATCTTTAGTATTCCTTTTAATTCATGAATTAAATAATGGTCAAATACTGTGATACTAACACAATACACTTCAGAAAGCTGAGCTGGCAGGCAGTGCAAAGTCAAACGTGCAGTGTGGGGGAAACGTGCAGTGTGGGAAACCTGCAGCGTGGGAAATGTGCAGTGTGGGGAAACATGCGGTGTGGGGACACATGCAGCATGGGAAACCTGCAGTGTGGGAAATGTGCAGTGTGGGAAACATGCAGTGTGGGAAACCTGCAGCGTGGGGAAACATGCAGTGTGGGAAATGTGCAGTGTGGGGAAACAAAGTTATGTAAATGGGAAAACTTTAGCCATGCAACTTTAAAGTTGGAAGCACTTAGTAACGGCCACATAAGTGCAGGTGCTATTAACCCCAAAATGCGCCACAAAAAATAACATTTTATCCGAAGCATTAACCCTTAAATGGCGCATAGCTATATACCATTTGACACCCACAGGCGCATACCAAAAAAAAAAAAAAAAAAAAAATTAATTTTTCTTCCTAACCTGTTAATTTGTGTTCACTGATCACGGAAAAATAATAAAAAAATCGTAAGTGGCATATATTGCCCACTATAGGGCGGGGAAGTGTGACAAAAATCAGGCGCTGCCTGAGCGTGCGTCCCAGGCGGTCTGTTGATCGCCAGCTGTCAGGCCAGAGTTTCCACAAAGAGATAATTACCTAATTATTTCAATGTCTCTGATTGATTTTTCGTAGTTTTTTTGTTGTAATATTATTCAATAGTGTGTAGTGTGATATATTTATATAATAAAATGAGTGAATCATCGCTGTACTCAAAAATATGGTGTGCATATTGTTGATTCAATTATGTTCATCAAACAGTGAACAAATACTTTGTCGGTTATTACACTATATACACAGGTTATATATAAGTATCTGCATGTTTTGTTCACCATGACAAACCACTTGTCATGGTTTATATATAAGTTGTTATGCTGAGTGGCAGTGGCAGTGGCAGGCAGTGACTGGCTGCCACTGGCTGCCACTCCCTCCCTCACCTCACCTCACCTGACTTGCCACCATTCTCCACCCACCATACTGTTTTTGCTTTTATATACAGACGTTATATATAAGTATTTACATGTTTTGTTCACCATAACTGTACATCTAAGCTTGTATGGTGAGTAAAGGCAGAGAGACGTAGCTACTCACACAGTCAGCTGGTGGCGGCCGCCCTCAAGGCCAGACGCACTAATATTTCTCCTACAACAATACTGTTTGTGGTGTTATTACGCTATATACACACATTATATATAAATATCTACCTGTTTTATTCACCATACTTGTACAAGTAAACTGGTATGGTGCCCAAAGACCATCGAGGTCATCAGTAAACAACATGATAAGTCCTGCAGACGACGCTCCTCCCTCACCAAAATGGCGGCTCCCAACCTCCTACTCTCGCTGTTATCTCACACTATACACACGTTATATATAAGTATCTACATTTGTGTTCACCACAGTGAACCACTAAGCTGGTATGGTGAGTGCAGTCAATAAAAGGTGGCCACACACACTCAAAAGACAACGCCACCATCCTCCCTCCCACAGCATTACTCCTCCCTCCATGGCGCACAGCGCCAAATATCACTACAATCCTGCTATTATCAGAACCCTGGTCAGTTTTATCACAGTCAGGGGTCTTCTGTAATAATATCATCGCTACATAATAGCATGAACAAGTATATTATGGCATTTTTAGGCGATGCTGTGGTCACAAGCTGAACAGCAGTGCTGTGAGCTCATGCTGCGTGCGTCAGGCTTGGTAGCTCACTCAATACTGAGGCCCCTAACACCTGGGAGTTTGGCCCACGATTTTTAAAAAAAATGGCGTCTGTTTACAAGAGCCCTGATGAAGGTGTGGTGAACCCCGTGTATCCGCGGGCTGTTTAAATCTTGCGTAGTACTCCAAAGCATCATATGATGCGATGCACAATTTACTGCAAGTCGGTCAAAGCATCATATGATGCGATGCGCAATTGAAAGGTTAAGGCAGATATGTTCTGCAAATCTTGATTAAAATACTGTTCATGATTTAACTGCCTTTTGATAACAAATAAATCAAGAGTGTATTGTAATGAAATACAAAGGGCCCCAACCCAGTCAATACAGGAGACAGCCAGTCCCAGACCAGGAAAAACATGACCACAAATGCAGGATAAATCAGAAAAAGCATCCCCATAGACTGAAAGTTGTCAGTACTACTACTGGTAGTAGTAGTAGTACAAGTAGTACAGTACTACTACTACCAGTAGTAGTAGTACAAGTAGTACAGTACTACTACTACCAGTAGGAGTAGTACAAGTAGTACAGTACTACTACAAGTATTAGTAGTAGTACAAGTAGTACAGTACTAGTACAAGTAGTAGTAGTACAAGTAGTACTGTACTACTACAAGTAGTACAAGTAGTACTGTACTACTACAAGTAGTACAAGTAGTACAGTACTACAAGTAGTACAAGTAGTACTGTACTACTACAAGTAGTACAGTACTACTACAAGTAGTAGTAGTAGTACAAGTAGTACAGTACTACTACAAGTAGTAGTGCTGTAGTACTACAAGTGGGCTTGTTTGTGTCATGGGTACACAAGCAAGCCCACCTGCAGATAGCCAAACAGCTCACATAGTTCACATAGCTAGAGGAAGGAGGCCCCATCTGCCTCCCACTTTATCAAAAAGAACGGGAAGGGAATCAACTGCAAAAATGATTGACACATCGAAAAGGACTAATGCAGAGAAATCAGAAAAAGAACTACCATCATAGTCCAAAACCCCACAAATGAAAATTAACTGAATATACCTTTCCTACTACTGACTGGATGATACGGCAGTAGTTGGACTGATACGCAATCCATACTGCATTGGATGATACGGGGTGCAATCTGAAAGATGATGGAAAGCAAAGCTTCACAGAAGAGACTCGCAGAAGCAATCAAGATTGCCGTAAACCCCTGTGTCATAAAGGGCAAACACTTCAAGTGAGGAGGCCATGGCAACTAACTAGCACAAGAAGAGCTGGAGAGAAAGTTCAATATGAATGTTAGCAGTAGAGAGCACTATGGACTGAACCCAGAAAAACTGAGAGGAAAAGGGATGGCACATCTGCCGCCACTCGGTTCCAACAGTTTCGAAAGAACGCCAAATGAAGCAGTGCATCCTAGTGCACTTCATACAAATACTAGGTTGCCCTAGAGGTGAAACAAACACTGGCTGGGAAAGCTGAAACCATACTACAATCCAAAGCAAGAGTTCAAAAGCTGATCAAGGGAGAGAAAAGGAAGCTGGGCTAGCAACCTACAACCAGACCCAGTCCAGCCACACCTTGAGAAATTACCATATATAGTGGCCCCTAATTGATCAAAAAGCTTAAGGAGTAAACTGGATAAAGAAACAGAACCCGGGCCAGCAGATGATTTGGGATTCCAAGATGCCAGTTGCTGAGATTTGAGTTTGCTGGAGGTTTTGTTGTTACCCCTTGCCTATCTTTGAAGTTGGGTATCTAACCCAGAAGGTTTGCTCTACATGAATGTGTTTTCTTTCCACTTCCAGGAGTCTTCATCCACTTCCTCTTCATAGATAGTACCTATTGTGAAAAGCCTCAATAGTCACGAATTCGTACGTACTTAGCTTTTAGATAGTAGTATACTGACAATTAAAGAATTCTTAAAATAAAAATTAAAGCTAAAAACAAACTTAAATATTCCTAGACCTAATATAGCACACACATGTACTATATTAGGCCTCGGATATTGTGTATTAGGCCTGGGAAGGTTAGGTTAGTTTAGTTTGTCTTTGCAACACTAGTAAAAAATAGTTTCCTGGTTTGTCTAACTCAATAGTGCAGATTTTTACTTTCTAATTTCGTTGTATGTTGGTATATATACTATGGTCTTCATCGTTACTATAAGTACTACAAAAACAGGTGGATGGGCTGGAATCTTAGTGGCCTTAATACATCACCTCAATACAGGTTTCCATCATCTCTTTTTCCTCAGCTTTCGCTGCCATGACCATGGATGCTGACTCCAAGCTGTTCTCTCCACTCCTATGGGATGCAGTGACAAACTTTTATGTGGATTGCTGTGCCTGCCAGATGGCCGTTTTGGATTCTCTCTGAGTCCACTTTATCTCAATCCCTCCTATTTGCTACCCTGTTCTTTCCTCTCCTTTTCATGGAAGGGGAAAGTTTGCAGGGTTTAGACATGGCAGGTGCAGCTTTTAAGCCTGCTTAGCCAGATGTTTTTGCTGGCTGTTGGCTCCAGTTCTGTCATCTTGCCAGACCAGCTCTTTCATGGTATGCTCAGGGGGGTGGGAAGTCTGTGCTTTTTGACACACTTGGTATCTCCAGGTCTTGGAAGTTTTGGGTTTAACCACTCCTTTAGTGTCTTGGGGGGGCCAGTTTAGCTATCTTCTCCTATACTGTACTCTACATCATCATTTACAGATTGTTGCATAAAGGTTTACTATGATGACCATGTGGAGGGTGTCCTCCTTTCTTTCCTATTTCAAGTGAGATTTATGGAGCTTTCTGGAGTTCTGGACTTGTCTGTTCTCAATTGGTACATTACTTGTCTGATATTCTGGCTAACCAGTGTCCAAGGTTGGCCGGGTAGTTCCAAGCGACTCTTGGCTCATTTCCTTGGATCTTCATGACCTTGTTGATACTTTCCCATCTACACTGAACCTGGCTTCCAGATTATTTATTAAACCTTCTGGCACGGTCCTTCATTGTCTTCATTCTGACAACTAGTCCTGACTGACTGGTTTGAGCCCCCAGCCATTGAGCTTATGTGCTGGACAAGACTCTCGTCCCTTCATAATTGGCTCGCTTCAGCTTTCTCACAAACTACAGGAATAAAGTTTCAGTTGGTGCCTTCTCAGGTTCAAAGACCAAGGTTGCACAGAGATCAGTATGGAACTAGTTGATGAGTTTGAATGTATAGTTATTTTCTGGAGGAAGCCCCCAGTGGCTCCCTGAAACTATTTTACCAATATTGCACCACACTGAAAAATATCATCAGTCGCATAACTTCTGTTTGACCTACCGGGGACCAGAGCCAGGACCTGGTTCCCTCCTCACAGAGGCACAGGGAGTGGGTGAATATCCACCATCCCTACTGGAAAAACTCTAGAAACTCAGCAAAGCTCCATGGACAACTGGAGGATTCGGAGGAAAATGAAGCCTCGAATCCGCCACAATTTTGCCAACGATTCAACATAACACTGGATTCACTCAAACTAGCTTGAAACTCATTAATACTGATTACCACCACCAGACATCCAGGCCCCAGCCTTCAGGTAACTTTCTAGGTCAGTTCTATTGCTGATGATGCATTTACAGCTGCTTCTAGTGCTTCTGGTACATCAGATCACAGGCAAGCCCCACAGCTTCAAGCTAAGTGCCAGCCATCCTCAGTCTTTGTTGTCCTGGGGTGGTTACTGGCTTTGTGTATTGTTTCTTCTTTTAGTACAGTACTGTATAGGCATCACAAGCATGTTTTAGTTCTGACTTGTTGTCTGTGCTTGAGTCTTGTGGCATTTCGAGTTGCATGTGCTCAGGGTTTTCTTCTGTGTGCCTGTTAACACATTTCTTCAAATAGCCACCACATCTTATGACCGAGCCCTTGCCTCTACTTGCATAAAATATATTTATTTTAGCAGTCAGTATATCCACTTCTATTTTATACAAATTAGTCACTATAGTCATAAGTCAGGCTGGAAGCAGCCACATCAAACAGCCTGGTTGACCAGACCACCAACCAGGCCTGGTCAGAGACCGGGCTGCAGGTTGATCCTCGGAATCATCAGCAGGTGGTTTAATGAGGTCCATAAATAATGTTTATCCCAGTATTATGTTTTTACTTAATGACTTGCCTTCTATCATTGATACATACTCCACTAAATATTATGCTGCAAATAAATATCAGCTATGTCTTATCTCTTCTATACATGATCTCCATGCATTAGTGCATAACTTGCCTCTTCCTCTCATTTTATTTTTTCTCACCCTCAGTTATAATCTTCCAAGCCCCATCCTCCCTTTTATCTTTCTTCCCCATCTTTTGATCTCACTCTGCATCCCTTCTCCTTCTCTGTATAAAATTTAACATAAGACATAAAAAGCAAATATACATACTGCAAAACTAAATACATTCGCTTAAGCTCAATCTTTCGGATACAACTTGTATCCACTGTCTAGACCAGGATAGATCACACAAGCTTGGGGCAGGTGTTGTTCTTGTAATACTGGATGAGAAGAGCATACATGCACACAAGAGTAAACACTGAGTCAAGCTACTATAAAACACTAGTACTGTATACAAAAAGTTTGTTAGAACAACATAGCCATGCAATTTTAAGGACTGCAAAAATCTGCATCTTTTACTAAAGCTTCCATATCCAAACCTTAGAAAATATTGGACAACAGAAAACCCAAAATATTTGCACTACATGTCAAGTCGATTGAATTAAGAAGCTAATAACCTTAATTTTTGAAGTATTGAAGTGTAAACTCTGAAACCTAGAGTATACAAGACCACTGTGAAGACAAGTGCATACCTGACCTAAGAATTGCCATAAAAGTACAGTACTGTACAATTAAGAAAATTCTTCGGTGACAATAATTTCAACATACTGTATTTAAATAAAAGATGCTTGGCTTCATTGTCATAAATAAGAATATGCCTCTTGTAGTTCACTTTATAGTGCATGACACTCACCTTCAGTACTTGTATGATTACTTAAAGAATCTAAATGTAATAGAACATTTTAAAGGAGCATTGCAGAAGATTTTACATATTTTAAATGTTAATTGCAGTTTGAGCAAGGAAATTCACCAAACAATTGGTGATCATATTTGATGCTTTTGCCAGAGTTTGTTTTGTTTATATAGACAAGTGGGCTATTGATGCGAAGATTAATAGTCGTTAAAAAGTAATTAAATTAAAGCATGCTTTGCCAGAGGCTGAGAAGTGTGCACTGAAATTGCATTGTAGATGTCGTCAGGAGACTTGAGAATAAAAGACACGACTGTGTGTATGGGTGCCTAACGATGCTTCATGCCATTTACAAACTGTCTGATATACTGTATAGTATATGCAAGATAAGGTATCAAAGAGCATATCCCTATATCATCGTTTCCAAGTGTGTATGTGATGGAACACTACTACGAAGAAATAGCTGCACTCAACAATTTCCTGAGTGCAAGAAGGCTGTAGTCTACATGTGGATCGTGCATATCCCAGTCAAGAGACAGAAGTGAGTCGTGCAAGACCCAAACACTGATGGTGTGAGAGAAACTGAGGGAGTGAAGACGACTACCCGACGCTAGGCCACTAGCCCGCCCCGCAACAAGCAACGCCCGTGCAACAAGAGGCCACAACTTGATTACCGGTGTACACGGACCGCGCCACCCCGACCTCCACCCTCCCAGCAGTACGGCATCTGTAATATCATAGTTCTGTTAGTTATGGTTAGTGATTTAGAGATAAAACCAGTGGAAGATGATCCTCTTCTTTAACAGTTTAATATGCTTAACAGTATAACACAGTATAACTAACATGCTTACTCCACGCTCCATATTATATTTCACTGTGTTCCAGTGATGAATGGAGGTTCTCCTGTAATTATTGCATCATAATTCCTGGAAATATGACTCTTAACTGTTAGTATATTAACAGGAGAGCTTTCTTGCATTTTAATACAAAAGATCTCCTGTAACTTAATATTATTAGTCCATATGCTCTTCACTGAAAACAAACAACACAGTGAATGTACAGTTTCTAAGTACTGTATATGCAAAATGCAAGCATTCACAATGACAAATTATAGGCAACTATTAATTCACTGTACATATACATAGCATAGAAAATTTAATAAACACTAGGCATTGCCCCACCATATGCTTTTTTTTTTTTGAAGACAGCCTGGCTGTTCATAATGAGTTCAGCAGTCTTTACACACAGAAATCACACTAACGTGATGCATCCTCGTCACGGCCCTTGTGGATTTGTTCATTTGATGCATCACGTTAGTGTGATTTCTGTGTGTAATGATATAAGGGCGAAGAGGAAGAACGGCCTATTGATATAGCTCGAGTGCAGGGGGGAGTTGTGTAAAACCCTGGTTTGTGCCTCGGAGAGGCTGCGGGATCTAGTAAATTCAGTAGAACTTCGGTTTCAACTCTTTTTAACCCTGTCATAGCTCAGTTGATTAAGGTAGTGTCTGGGATGCTCCCGGACGCAGGTTCGAATCCTCGTCACGGCCCTTGTGGATTTGTTCAGCAGTCTTTCCCTGGGTCTTGATGGGAGACAAGTTTGAGCAGTCACCAGACCCTTTTTTTCCATTGATACAGCAGATATCTAATGATTTTCCATTTGCATTTCTTGATATATCGATGAACATAATAAACATATTTCCACCATTGAACATGTTGATTTAAAAAACCAGCATTGAATGTAATGAAATGTCATTTTCTGGGTGAGCCCTGGAGGCTCCCTGGAGGTTATCGGGCTAATGTATGTTATATTAGACCGGGACATTAGCTATGGAGTTCAGACCTACCAGGGACCATGAGTCCAGAACCTGGCCCCTTCAGAGAGGTTGCAGGGAGCAATGGCCCTGGCAAACCCCCATGTGGTTGGGGGTTTTCCTTATCTGCCATCGACCGGGGTTAGGAACCCAGAAAGGTAGGCATAACAAAACACACCCCACATGGACTGTGCAGACAAGCGGCGCGGCAGTGGTGTATGACGTTTGCTTGTTTCCTTGGGTGTTGGGAGAGTTCTGTCTCTGTTCGATTTTCAGTTGCAATTTTCTTACCAAGTGGGGTTTGTTTTGGCACCTACCTTTCTGGGTGCCTAACCCTGGTCAATGGCAGACAAGGAATGCCCCCAACCACATGGGAGTTTCCATAGGCCATTACTCTCTGCGCTTCTCTGAGGGGGAGGCCAGGGCTTGTGGTTCCCGGTAGGCTGAACTCCAGTGACTGATGCCCCCAGACTAATATATCATATATCAGTTCGATAGCTCTAGGGGGCGCTCCCCACAGAAAATGATTATTAGCTATATATATATAATGATAACACAGTATATGTGTTGTAACAAATATATAAGTTTATAGATTACTTGGACTATTTTATGTACAGTACACTGTATTAGTAAGCAATTTTTTTAATTGCACAGCTAGAAAAAGCATGTGTTTTGCTTACTTTATATGTACTACAAAAACTGAATTTCAATATATAGTTTTCTTGCTGCATTTCAACCTTCAGTATGGATAGGACCAAGAAAACTAAATAAAGGATAGGACTAAATGACATCATAAATTTTGTACCAATACTCATAAAATAATGAAACCGCATATTACAATTAAATTCAAACCAAATTTTTTTAAGGAAAATAATAACATATACAGAACTGTATTTCCAATAGTTTAGTAAACTGAGTTAAAATTTAAGCAATTTGCATTCTTTTGTACACATACAAAATGTCCAATTTGCTAATACTGCACTGTAACTCTCATTAGGTCCTTCAATAAAATCCAAGAAGCGACATCGGTGTTTGCTAAAGAAAATACAATGTAATATCCTGACATTTATTAAAGTTAGCATCTTTTGCTGACTCACCTGACACCTGCAGGTAACGCAGTCATCATTTAATGCTGCCCACTCGGCACCAGGAGGATATGTGGCACTTAGGTAGTGGCACCCTTGAGGAACAGACGTGTCAACAAGGCCAGTACCCATGCTAGTGTTCGTGGGTTCTGAAGCCATGCAGGGATCATCTGGGCATCGGGCACAGCAGTCGCCTGGTGCCCGTTCAGGGAATGAACAATGTACTGGTGGACATTCTAGAGGCCAGCAATCTATTTCTCCATACTGGTGATACAAAAATTAAATCTATCAGCTAATTATACACTACCAGTATATGAACAATTTAAATACTAGTCATGCCCTCTATTATGTATGGTAATAAGATAGCAGGAGTTACAAATTTCACCAGAAATAGTTAAGAGTCAAGACCCTAAACAGCAGACCTTTTTTTTTGCAGGGAAGAAGCAAATTGTTTTTATTCACCTAAGTGAAAAATTTGAAAGTTTTTATAATTAAAAACCAGCTTAATTGCAAATGAATACAGTATTAATGATATGGACATGTACAATATAGTCATCCCTTATTTTGCAATTCATACAAATGTTTAAAATGCACGAAACTGAGATCACCCATATACGAGTCGGTGCGCAAGATTTGTAAAATTTATACCTTGCTTTGGTTCGCAGTCCGCAGATCCTATGATCTGACCACATACTGCTTGTTTGTACTGGTGCAAAGAAACTGAAGAATTCCAGATCCAGCACACAATTACCTCCAGAATGTTCATTCACAGGATCTAGATCCTCCCGCAAGATTCGGTGATACACAAATAATCACTTATACAGTATAGTAAATTTGAATTTTAACAACTAGCTTGCCAAGCTTCACTACAGATCAGACAAGAGGAAATTCAGCACAGATTATCAGATGATCTGCATGCCTCTCAGTGTTGGCACTGACCTGCTGACCCAAGCACAGCATTTCTTATAGAGTACAGTATTTTACTAATGATTTTAATCACTGTTTTGCATCATTCTTCCCATGTGTACAGTACCTAAAGTTTACCTGTAAAGTAGATTGTTTCGAGAGTTCTTTTACTCATTTAGCTTGGTGGCTGCCAGGCTTTTGTGGTAATAACTTGGTGCTTGTAGAAGCCTGTTTGTTTACCTATCCAGTGCAACCTCGCCTTTCACAGTCTCCGTGGTGTAGTGGTAAGACACTCGCCTGGCGTTCCGCGAGCGCTATGTCATGGGTTCGTATCCTGGCCGGGGAGGATTTACTGGGCGCAATTCCTGAACTGTAGCCTCTGTTTAACGCAACAGTAAAATGTGTACTTGGATGAAAAAACGATTCTTCGTGGCGGGGATCGTATTCCAGGGACCTGCCCGAAATGCTACGCGTGCTAGTGGCTGTACAAGAATGTAACAACTCTTGTATATATCTCAAAAAAAAAAAAAAAAAAAAAAAAAAAACCTGACTGACCTACCACTTTTTACAGGAACTTGTCTAATTTCCATTTTATACTGCCAATATCTCTTACACTTGAGATATTATGAGTATGTGTATGTATTGAGTATGAGAGCGTAGCTCTCATCTTGTAACTACACTTAGGTAATTATATAATTACTTGTTAGGAGGAAGTTGAAAAACTGTGGGCCGCTGAGATTGAAAGTGCCCTCTCATTGTGCATATGGAGCCTCGACTCTTAATTAAGTGATGTGCTAAAAGAGAACGTTTGGATATTTTTTGTTGGTACTGCTGCTATCTTAGCTTCAATCTGTGGCCTCTAGATTTTGAAGTTGCAGATTTAAACAATTCAACCTTGTCCACTTCAATTTTTTGTTCACAATTTTGCACATAGTGATCATAAAGCTTCTTGCCTTCCATCTCCATATAGCTCTTGTTATTTAGGTGTCGAAGCCATTTGGTAGAATTGTCTCGCCACCTTTCCTTCTTTTGTTCAAGTACTTTGTTGAGAAATGGACACCATACATCTGCTGCATACCCCAAGTTTGGTCTCACAATCGTGATCAATTTATTTAATATTTTCCTATTCATGAATTGAAAAGTAATTCTGAAAATGGCAAGATTTGTATATTGTATCAAATGAGATCCGAGATCAGATGAATTCAAATTCCTAAATCCCTAAATTCTGTCGACGTGGCATATATGGATGAGAGGGGAACTAGACGACAAACGAGAGAGACTTATAACAATTATGAGAGAAATAATAAAGAGAAAGCCAGATTATTAGTATTGATTGACTTTAATCTACAATCTCTAGATATCCCAAAGAAGTTGTCAGGGTTTATCAAATTTGTGCAGAATCTCAAGAACTTTGAATATAAGGAAGCGTGAACAAATCCAGCAGGATTTGATCCTCATCAAGGCTCCTGTTGGATTTGTTCATTGATATACCATATTAATGTGATTTCTCTGTGTATATAAGGAAGAGTAATCATTCAAATTGACAAAACTGCCATTTTGACTATTATATTCATATACAGTACATTGTGCACCTTCAAAGGGGCAAAACGTCCTGGTGAGAGATTCAGTGTAGTGACGACAATTAATCTGAGAATTTAGGCACCAAGAATATCAGGAGTGACTGAAGGATATAATTCTTCAGACAATGCATGGCAGGGCAGATTTTATTGAAGCTTCTAGGGAAAAGGAGCAAACACCTTTGGAGTCCAACCTAATGAGTACACATGTGAATCTCACCAATGTCAAATGACTTCGCTTAACCCTTGAGCTGCACACCAGTTATTAGCTGACAACCACTCGGTGCATAAAAGAAAAAATATATATTTTTCCTTCTAATATTGTTAAAATGTGTTCCCTGATCATGGGGAGACAAAAATAGTATGTGACTTTCTTTGGTCGTTGTGGAGCGAGCAAGTACAATAACTTCATTTATGAGGGTTTTATTGAGTCATCACCCTGAGGCGGTAGTCCGGGGCTGGGCGTAGGGTGGGAGTTGCCACAAAGATATTTTTTAGATATTTATTTCACTGTCTTTGATTACTTTTATCTCTGGTTTTTTAAAGTACTGTACTGTAATATTATTTAAGTGTATCACTTGAAAAATTTTTATAAAACAAATGTGAAACATTGGAATGCTCAAATATATTTGTGTCACTAATATGTGTGCAATATTATATTCTTAGAACAATAAAACACAGTTTTTACTGTTATTACACGATATACACACATCATTATAACTACTGTATCTATATTTTCATGCACCATTATGAACTACTTCATAATTCTGGAGGTTTAATAATATTGTAACCAGTTATCAGAGTTCACCTCAGCTATGCATGTTTTGTGTAAAATTGTAACTGCACACATTGAATGTATTCTTTATAATTCTAATATTGCCATTGTTTTTCAAGTGCAATGATGCACTGGGCTGTTGATAATGTCATTTGAATCATAAAACATGTAGAACATAGATACACAGATATACTTGTCCTTAATATGCACACTATTATTTTCTTTAAGCAATAAACCACACAGTTATTGCTGATCAATATGCACATAGTGAATCAGTTCTGGTGGATATAATAATGACCAAGGACAGTATAGTGCCACGTGCTACAAGCAGACGACACCATCTGATGCAGAAAAATACCTCTAATATCGCTAACTCTGGGCACAACACTGCTATTATCAGCAGATTCCTGGATCCTAAATCATGAATATGAATCATTTTCCACAAGTCTATTTTTGAAAGGAACATAAGGTCTCATTACATGATGCATAAATGGACGAAACCACAGCTGTGTGCCGTGAATGTCTGCCTCCCACCATGAGCATCTTAACCAGCATTGTGTTCACTGATATCGGAACCTTATGCATCGTCTTTATCACAATTAGGATCTTCTATGACACTATCATCGCAAAATAATTGCCGTTATTTATTTCGTTATTATTAAGTGATACTGTGGACAAGCTGCATGGCAGTGCTGCGAGCAGCAGCTGCCTGCGCTACCCGTGGTTACCCATTCAATAATGTGGCCCTCACATACTGCAGCGATGCCCAGGAGTTTGTTTCAAGATAACATCTGTTTACTGGAGGCCTGAGGAAACAAATGTGAGCCTCATGTGTGCACTGGACAATTAAATCATCTTGGGTACTATAAATCATCTGCGTTTGACTTGTGCAGTGTGGTCAACTATGGTGGGGTCATCCCTTTTGATTGGTACTGAGGAAGGGTTAAATGGGTTTGCCTTTAGTGACCATGGTTGAGTGTCTTAAGACACTGAAGTTTGGGTCAGGTTGAGTGTCCAGGTGTTCTACACCTCTTTTACCTCTCGTGAGTCACTCCCTCTGAAGGATGCCACACTGAAATTGATACATTCTCAATAAAAGTTCTATCTTCACACACACAGTAGAGTGCTGATCTTGGAGAGACTTAAGACACAGTAAGATCACATAAACCCTGATCACTTCTTCAAGATATTAAACTTGACACATACAAGAGGCAATAACTTCTAGATTGCCAAGCCACAATACAGAACAAGAGGAAATTCTTCTCCTAGAGCAATAGACTAAGGGACAGTCTATCTATTGAAGCTATCAAAGTTAGAACAGATTTACAGTTTAATATACAACTGCAAAATTTCTTCACACAAAATGAGGGTACCCTTCACAAGCCCCAGTCTTCTTGTCCCAATGACCACAAAAGACAGTGCCAGGTAAATAATAACCAAAATCTATGTATGAATCACAATATGTATATATAAAAATACTTACAAGGCATTCACAGGTCTGGCATTGAAATATCCAACGCTGACCACTGTGAAAGGTGATGTGCTGTTGTGACTGATGGGAGCAAGAGGCACGAGGATCACAATGAGGACAACACTTAAGGTTAACATTGGGATCAGAACAGTCACAAATGAAACGATCACAAGTCACAGTACCCTCCGAACATATGCACTGAGAACACTCAGAACCTGGAGGTGTCCACACGTCACCATGTGGTCGCTCTAACCCATTCACCACACAGCCTGTACAAAAATATATCGATAAACTGCAACAGTGCTTACATAATGCACACATGCAGGTTTGATATTTATAATACACCACTAATTCATTCTTGAAGTGTTAAAATGTGGACATAGCATTCTTATAAGATTTATCATTTCAATATACTATACATGTTTCATAAACGCTTTAACTAACCATGGGAGCAGGTAGTGCCATTGTCACAGGTGCATAAGAAGGATCCTTCTGTGTTTACACAGGTAGCTGATTCATGACAAGTAGCTGTTCCTGCACTACATTCATCCACATCTTAAAACAAAACAATATTGCATGTCAAATTAAATCAAGATGTTTTACTCAAGTTCTGTTAAAAATATATGAGCAATATTTTTCAGTAATTACATGCAGCAATCAGAGAATATTACAATCAGGTAATGTTACCTTTGCAAAGAAGGCCTTGACTGTTATCTGCCAAGAGGGAGGTATACCCTGGAAGGCAGTGACAAGTATACCAACCAGGAAGGTTAACACAGCGTGAATTAGGATGGCATTGGTGAAGCTGCAGCGCACACTCGTCAACATCCAGCTCACAAGCCTGTCCTCTAAAGCCTCGTCGACACTCACATTTACCAGGTGTAATACACACGCCGCCATTTTCACAAGTTGTATTGCACACAGCTGAAACAGAGATTTGACTCATTTTGGTAATATACATGGTTCAGTATATTGCCAAAGAATATCTAGAATCAGCAGGATGGAAACCACTAGTGGCTCCTTGCTTGTCAATAGATCATAAAATAAAAGAAAGTTTAGAAAGACAAATGTGATCCCTATCAACACTGAACAGAAGATCAGTTCGGTATATACTAGACAAGTAAAAAGATCGTCAACTTGCTCATGGAGATTTCTCCCAACATCAAATGGAATGCATTGAAAGAGATGAATGTTGAGTAGGCCTTTATAGACCCACTATCATACATAATGTATTAGAGGATTACAGTATTATGGAATAGGGAAGTTCTGTATACAGATACTTTATATAAAGAATGAGAATTAAAATAACAAACATTGAGAAATGCTCTACAAATCAAGGGGCCCAGAATGTGGAATGACCTTCCCAACCATGTTAAAGACTGTACCTCTCTCAACCAGTTTAAGTTAAAAACGAAGCTATACCTAATAAATTCCCTGTAACTCACCTTACCCCTCTGTTGTCAAACCATGTATGTTTTTTGTTTTTTTTGTTTTTCAAATCAACGCTGTTTGAATGTAATTTTCTGTAATAATTTGTAATTGTATTTGTGCTGCTTTTTCAACAATGTTCCCCCCTCTTTTACCTCTATTTTTATTTGTACTCAACACATCTTATTCTTTTTACCCATTAGTTTTAAGCTTTAGTCATTAATGTTTTTCCTGCCCGAAACGCTTTGCGTAATAGTGGCTTTAGGCATTGTATGTACTAGCTCTATCTATAAAGCCAACAAACTTTGTAAAATCTCTTTATGTATGTACCTTACCTAAATAAAATTATTATTATTATTATTATTATTATTATTATTAATAAACAGTGCAGGTAACAAAAATATCTTATGAGGCTATGGATATATGAAGAAGTAATGAAGAACAAGACTCTGGAGAAAAATCCTGTTGTTGCCACTCCAGAGGAAACTTCTTGGCATAAAACAAATTTTTAGTTGTACAGGTATAACTTAATTATAATAATTATTGAATACTTTCTGACACCTCTCTGTTCATAAGTGCATATCAGTTAGGCTGCTTGCCTTGTAGTTGGAAACATAAACAATAATTGTTCAAATGTTTATCAAGAAACACAGCCAAGTCAAACTGTTGATTCATTGATATGATTTTATCACTGAAGTTTACATTGTTACATTTCTGGCATTTACTTACGACTGCATTTAAAGCCATCTCCAGAATACCCTGCATGGCAAGTACAGTGATAACCTCCACGCGTATTGGTGCACGAAGCATGTTCGTGACACTGGTGGGCTCCCTCACTGCACTCGTCTCTCTCTACGCAGGTAAGTTCGTCGACACGGACATAGCCTTCTTCACATTGACAAACATAGGAGCCGACAGTGTTGACACATTGAGTGTGAGCTTGACAGTAGTGTCCGTGATGGGCACCAACTTCACGGCATTCATCAATGTCTGTAACATAATTATTTGCATAAATATATGAGGTATAATATCATATTTAAATGTTCACAAAATGGAAATATTAGAATTATATTATAAAACTCTGGATATCTTATGCCCGCCATAAATTTCCATTTGAACACAGGACTCCAGTGTTACAAATTTCACTTCTATTAAAATATTTAACCATAAATTAAGAAAATTAAAGGAATTCACATTTTGTTTTCCACAAATGCATACCTTTAGACCCAATGAAATGCACAAAATAATGACTTGATGCATTGAAAAGAGATGAATGTATGGTCATTATGTTGTTTACACAACACACACAAGCCCTGGTTTTGTCCCCAGTTAAACGTTCTGCAGGTTTTGCCTCCCCCAGGTAAACCTGCAGAAACGGTAGCAGCCTCCCGCCATTCGGGTGTGCATGTCCAACAAAACCCTTGCATACTCCTTGCAAAAAGAAAGGGCAGTTTGCAAGCGAAGATGACTCCGGAACCTCATAACGCACCCAATACGGGGAAGAAGAACCGTACTCAAACAAGGACGGATCCATCAGGGAGCCGGTCGGCCGAGCGGACAGCACGCGGGACTTGTGATCCTGTGGTCCTGGGTTCGATCCCAGGCGCCGGCGAGAAACAATGGGCAGAGTTTCTTTCACCCTATGCCCCTGTTACCTAGCAGTAAAATAGATACCTGGGTGTTAGTCAGCTGTCACGGGCTGCTTCCTGGGGATGGAGGCCTGGTCGAGGACCGGGCCGCGGGGACACTAAAAGCCCCGAAATCATCTCAAGATAACCTCAAGATCACAGAGGCAAAATCTGGGTCATGCAGGAGGTAAGCCGCAAAAGCCTCCCGCACATCCTTAAGCAGAATGTAAGAAGCAGAAAACCTCCGGAAGGAAGGAGCTGAGGAATCCAAGGGAACCCGGAACTGAACCTGGGGAGGAGCCGACCCCAAATCATATTTGTACAGGGAAGGGGTGTAAGAAAATCCCTCCCTCTGCAACAACAAACCCCACTGGGAGGGCACCAAAACCCAACTGGGATAAAAGGGGGCCCAAGCCCCCCCCCAGATCAACTCCTCCCCAGCCCAGGGAGCCTCCAAACCAGGCCCCGGGGCAGAGTTGCCCTCTACTCCCTATACCCCTGAAAAAGACAGAACCCAGGGGAAAGGCAGCAAAGAAGGGAATATGTAGGTAGGACCCAGAAGCCTCGGCAGGAGGAATGGGCTTGAATGCCTCCATCTCTGACTCGAATGAGGCAGCCCCCAAACCCGCCCGAGCCTCATTAACGACTAAACACCGCCACGACTCAGAAACCCTTAGTTGTTTGAGACCGGGAAGCAGGGCAAACAACGAAAACCAGGAAAGGACTAGGGGACACAGATGGAACCAAAGTTGAAGCGACTAATGCCCCAAGTCCGGGTCTCTATAAAAACAAAATATATTAACAAAATGGGGCAGCCCCGAGGCATCCAAGCGGGCAACCAACATATTGTGTTGCAACAACATAAACCTGGCATGCAATGTGGATACTGCCTGTATCCAAGCCTCAGTGACAATAGAATGGGTAAACTGGAGCATGAGGAGAGAACATGTCTCGCAAGACTCTGGGTCAAATGTGTCATTGACCCAACAGGCAGCATGACAGAGGCAAAACTGGTGACTTTCACCCTGAGACAAGGACACAAAACAACCTTCAAATGCACACAAGGCGAGGTGCAACTCAGAGGACACATCCATCGGTCAACTGAGCCTCGACAGGGTTTTCCATGGCCCGTAGGGATGTCGTTTACAGGAAGCCCAGAAAGACCTGGGTGAGACCCGAAGGTCTCACCCAGAAAATGGCATTTCATTACATTCAACGCTGGTTTTCTGGGGGAAACTCCTTCGGCTCCCCGGAGCTACTTACCCAAAGACAAAACAGGAGAGACTTACCCGGGAGGTGGTCGGCCCTCGCTCCACAACGTGATGTCGAGACAATTGGCTGCAACCGCTGACCCAATGCAACACAGGCCCGACTAGGCCCAGGAACAATGACAAGTAGTGAGTGGCCAAAACCCTGTTCGACCTCCAAAAACCCCATGCCCTAATGTCAGCCCAAGACATGTTACCAAAAACAGCAGCCAGCGCAGCAAACTTACGAAAGTCGTGGGCACGAGGATAGAGCACAGGCTGGTTGGACCGAATAACCCTGCGGACAACCTGGAAGACCCGAACCCTGAAACAGGGAAGAAGGGGAAACCGAGTCAACCAAAAAAGGCTTCCCCGGCCACTGAGGTCATGCTGCTCAGGTAACGGCGGAGAGCCACAACCACATGATGCACCCCTGGCCTGCATCAACAACCCAAGGAAAGCAGCAGTTTCATTCTTCCCCAGAAAAGAAGGAGACGGCTGCAAATCAACAAATCTACCACCAGAACCAAAAGAGCAGAAACCCCTGTGCTGGAGGAGAGCATGAAGGTCCCCGACCCGACCCCCAAAGGCCAATGCCAACAGGAAAGCACCTTGGAAAAATAATTCTAAACCAAGGGGCCACCACAAACCGAGGAGAAGAGAGAAAGGAGAGCACCCGGTCCAAAGACCAGGATGGCTCAGACAACGCATGATCAGGCCAGAGCATTGGCCCATTTACGAGACAGCTTGCGGAACAATGCAGAAGTAACATCAACGCCGAATGCAAGCAGCAGTGGTTCTGCCACCCCCTGCCTCTAAAGAAAAGGCAGGAGCAGCCGAAAAAACAAAACAAAATATTGTAACCAGAAAAGGGGTTTGTTTTGGGGCGCTTTCCTTTCTGGGTGCCTGACCTGGTCGATGGCAAACATAGAATGCTTTCAGCTACATGGTTTTTTTTATAGGCCATTGCTCCTAGTGCCTCTCCAAGGGGGCCAGCTTCTGGCTCATGGACCCTGGTAGGCCTAGAACTCCATGTGCATTGCCAGGGTTTAATGCATTTATATCAGCCCGGTTAGCTCTGGGGAGCCGAAGGAGCTCCCCAGAAATTGCCAGTAGCTTCTCTGTATTTATTGTGCAAACTATGCTTATCGTGTGAGTGCCTAGCAGTCACAAAAGGATTACAGATGTCACAAAAGGTTTTTAATCAGACCCTGGAAAGGGATGATTTGAACAGTGATTATTACAGAGATGTCATTTGTATAGATACAGTTTTTTATGTAACAGATGATTTATATACAGTATATTTGTACAAAATGTTGATGGTATGTGATTTCAGGTAAATTATTTTACAATTCCTGCAGGGATTGTTAAAATCCATCTTTAAATGGGTACATTTTCTCAAAATCTAAAATTAAATGGTATCCAGTTATTCCAAATTAAATGTAGTTGAGGCCGTCTGTTGCAACTAGATATTTGCCTATACCAGGTTGTTGTTTTTTTGGAGGGAGTGGGGGTGGGGAATGCCTTTTTTTTATTAGTGAAGGTAACACACATTTGTGAAAATAATTTTCATACTGAAATCACATAGAAACTTTTAAATTTACATCTATGTGTGTTTAATCTATTTAATGCTTAAATCTCCAGCTTAAATCTGGATTAGCAGGCCACATCCCTGTACCAAATTCAGGTATCTGGAGCAATGACTGACTAGGGGGAAAGAGACCAAAACTAGGCAAGATTTCACCAGTAGATCAGCTGCACTGATGTTGGCTTAACCAGGACTCCACTGTACACAGTTTTAGTGTGTGGATTGCTCCTTTCTTTCATGTTTCCAATAAGAAAGACTGAACAAAAAGTTGTCGTACAGCCTCAGGCATATCATGCAACAGGGCAATATTAAAAACTATCAGATTTATGTGGGCAAATGAGCAAATCAGGTAAATTGAGTAAGAGCTTATTTTGCCCCTTACCATTTTTTGTAGTATCTTTTTTTTCTTTATTGTAGTGTATATGTGAACTAACAAAATACAAACATCACTTAAACTTGAGGAGGTTCAATTGCACGAGAGCAATCAACGTATTCCGTCTGGAAAATTTCAGAACGTAAACGGGGTAAGCGTAACAAGTGGTGGGAGTGTAATAGGCTCATGCAGTACCCTGAGCAGAAGCTGGTGGTGAGATATGTTAAGGAGGGAGGGAGGGAGGGAGGAAGGGAGGTGGTAAACAGTGGAGAAGGTGATGGTAAAGTGTTAGTCAAGGCATGTAATGGTCTGTGGATGGATAACCCCCACACACACCACATCCAAACTGGACGTCAAGCTGTTAATCCCGAGATTCAAATAATTAGGTGTCAAATTGAGTAAACTGTATTATTTTTTCTTAATAAACACCACATTACAGATGCAGTATAGCTATGTGCTGGTAATGATAATATCAGTCTATTTTTGTACTATCAATAGAACTTCAACCGATATTTTGATATTTCTTTTTACACAGCTTCATAGCATCTGACAAGAAATATTTAATATTGGTATCGGAATCTGTCTTTTTATTGCATTGGAGTATTGTATCGGTACGGGTTAACAAGAGAGCATTGTTATCAGTGAAAATAATGATACAGGTACACTTGTACTCTGTTTCCATTATCTTTTCTTTATTTATACAATAACTAGATAGGGGGTATCCAACAGTGTCCAGGTCAACCCTAAAAGGATGTGCCACAGAGGTGTTGGGAGCCCGAGTCAACCCAAGCATGTGTGCAAATATGTATAACCTCTCGGCATGTGTCATGTGTGTGTCAGTTTCTTACATGTGTCAATATGAATTACATGCATTAGTATAAAGTGTGTTGGCATGTATCATGTGTCAATATGAATCATATATTGCTATGTATCACATCAGGAAGTGTAATTTATACACTTCAGTGTGAAGGCTGCCTGCACACATCTGCAACATATGAGTGTTAAGCAAGCGACTGACTGTTCAGGAGGGAAGGGAGTGTGGTGGTAGGAGACCCAGTGTTGATGACATTATAAACACAAATTGGCCTATTATGGCCAAAGTATAATGGACAGAAATTTGTATTAACAGTTTTACAAATATCAGTGCAAAATGT